CATTTATCAAACAAAACTTGAAAGGAAGTGTGCTCACTAGTGACTACCCTCACGAGAAGACTCTAGACGTTTTAGTGAGAAAATGTGACCAGTGGAGTTCATTCCTGTCGGGTGCAGGTAGTAACTACCGAAGACAATAGGTGAAGTTGAACAAAATCCCTAGATTGATCAGTAAGAGATTAACAACGGTCGATGCCAGTTCAGTGGTTTACAGGTTAGGCGTTCATGTGCGAGATCGAAGGTCCCGGGCTCGAATCCTGAGAGTAACAGGGGTCATGGATTTGCACCGCTGATAAGTCCTATACTTAAACGAAACGGCTTCCAGGTTTCTAATAGTGATTTGACAATGATTTATTCATGATTTCACCGTGTAAAATCAGTAAATTAGGATTATTTTTCTACCGAATTATTTCATAAAAGTACACTGTATGCTTCATTGAAATATTAGGCTTTTCAATATTCAATGGTGATCAACGTTAAGTACTCATTTTAAAAGTGAGACAAGGATTCACTTGTATGCGTTTATCTCATACAACGGTTCACTCAGACAGATATGAGAATAAAAATTAGGAAAACGAAGAAAGTCGAAGTGGAATTAGGTGAGTGCAACAAACACTATGTGATTAGACACGTCTAGCTAATTACAGTCACACAAAAATCAGGATGTTATGTGACAAACGAAGTAAGTAATACACACATCCAAGGCTATCAATCAAAAAATGACGAGGTTGAAAGATGTGTGATAATGACTCGAATAGTTTGTTAGAGGCTCAGACAAACCATGTAAGCTCGATTTAGTAGTATACGCAATACTGATTACATGATATGGCATACCGTAAATAGTAAGGTTTACCATTTGAATTACCCGATCAAACAAACACTGATCATATGATCACATTGAACGGTGAAATAGATCATTCAATCCTCATTAATTAAAACAATTTTATATTTTAATTGACGATGTAATTACAAGCAAAAAGAGTATAATTGATTTTCACAATTGAACTGATTGAAACAAATAAATAATTCTCTACTTAGTTTTCTTCATCATTTCTTCATATGTCCTTTCGATTCTGGTGGATATTTATTAATATCGTATTTTGATAAACGTTCAATAACATTGAATAATTCTTGTTTATCTAATTTCTTCATAATTGGTCACGCTTGAATCGCCAATGAGCAACCGAAATCATAACGATTAAAACCAAGATCTATTGTAGCTAATGTAGATTAAACAGGCAGTTTAGTTTTATTTTCAGCTGTTAAATGTACAATAATTTCTTGTGACTTATTTGTATCACATTTTTTCAAATTGTTTGAATAAGAAATAGTTTTTGAAATTCTTGGAAAGTGTTCACTTTTTAATCGTTCAATTAAATTATCAATCTAAATGAATACTAAGATAAAGAAAGATAGATATTAGAGATGAATAATATCATTAGTTATTATGTTATTATCTAATCAAACTACATAATCTGTAATCAATGTTGGGATGACTCCCAGAAAGCCTTCAAGGACTCCCGAGAAGCGGAAGATTGCTTATACAAATCATGGCTGGACAGAATTTCTTGAACGCCGATGTGGTATAAGGTGATTGGATGATGGTGTGATAATGTTACTTTCGAAATGGATGATTTTATTGACTTTTTAACTTTATACGAAAAACTGTAGAAACTAATGTGATTTTACAGTGGAGTCTCGTTTTATGAGCTATATATTTTGGTTGTGGAGCCTTCATCGTTCTTCTGAACAATATCATCATAACAAACTTCAGATAGAAGTGAAGTATTCAAATGTTTCCATGTGTGACCCGTAGTTTAGCTCAATAGCTAGCTATCTACACAGCCTCATCAAAACATGTCAACTGAAACAATGAACTGAAGCGACACTCAGTACAAGAACTACTTAAAAAATATATTAAAAAATAAAGCATGAGTACTGATATCATTTGGAACAGGTTTAGTACTCAAACCAACAGAATCACTTTGAATAATCCTATGTAAACCAAAAGACAAAATCAAAGAAGACAAAAAACCAGATATAATCTAGAAAATAAATTGCTCAAACTGTGAAAAATACTACATCGGACAAAGTGGACATCCTCTTCAGCTTCGTTCGCACGAACATAAATCAGCAGTCAAATACCATGACATTTCTTCCCTTACATCAACGCATACGGAAAACTTTAGACATATGTTCGATTTGGACAGTGTGGAGATATTGGATAGAGGCAGTACATACAGCACGAGAAAATGTTTATGTTGGGGATGTTAGATCCCCGAAATTGGCTTGATAAATGCCTTATTTTGGGTTTTCACTTTTCTCAGCATGGGCTGATCAGTTAACCTTAAGATTTCAATTCACACCAGGAAAATCCATGGCTGTGATTGATTGCGTTGTATTTCAGAGTGCTATTTTCTTAACTGTCTCAAGGACGTTCCTATGTTGTATAAATAAACGAGAGTTGTATGCTTGATTGTACTGTGATTGCTGGGTGTTTGTAGAATATACTTTCTACGCTTACAAAGCCTTTTCACTTAAACTTCGGAGTCAAGGTAGCATAACTGGACGCTGGTTTATTGTGTCGTTCGCGTTTATCGACTAAGGTCAATTCGTAATAGCCTCAAGCTTACTGAGTGACAAACTTATCAGTTTAGGAGCTTGGTACTCTGGTCGAACAGCAACCAACAAACACATTGATATTGACCCAATTTACCGACTTATTAGAAAAATCATAGGCAGACATAAGATCAAGAAGCAGACCAAAAGGCGATACAATCATAACGAAGGCGCAAACAATAACAGGTTTAATGTCATGCTACGAATGCACGTAAACACGTCATTTTGATATGCTCGAACTATTATGAATTCACTTAGTCAGTCAATGAGAGCGAGTATCGAGGATCCGGTGACACGACACGCTTCTCTCATCCGAGCGTCCCCAACCAACATTGAGTAAAAGAAGAAAACTTGATATGAAGTAGGACATGTATTCTACGAGCATCCAGAAAATCCGAGGTCTGAGTCCAGAAGAGGATAAGAATCCTAGACTAAGGATCCAGGTCATTAAACGTTACAGATAATGCATATTTATGCAGTTAGGTCAAATAAGAAACAACATTGACAAAAGCATGTGACATTGACAGTTTGGACGACCAATAACAAACAACATTTGAAGTACGTGACATTAATATTTTGGACGACCAATAGTAACTAACCAATAGAAATCCACCAATAGAATAATACTTACAAATAATTCTCTTAAGGTATTGGTTGAATATCCTGATTCGATAGCCAAATACACTTGTTGTTATTCTTACCTTCTGGCTTAAGCAGCCAGTTCGTAGAAGAGTTCGTGTGTATCACATTCAGATCTCGGACAAACATTAAGTCATAAGAGTAAATATTATATAAAAGTAACAGTAACAATGAATATAGTAGTACCAATTATTGATGGACTCAACTGGTTGTTATAGCGGTGGTATTATAAGGATTTACGTTCCCTCTATGGTTTATTACAATAAAATGTTAATGAGATATAAAGGCAGAACTGTTTCGGTTAACCAAGTTTATACTAGCATTATATTGGAAACTCAAGTGGCTCACTATATGGAGACTGAAACGGTTTATTCTAGATATATGATTCGTAAACCATCATCGTAAATGATTCTTCCGGTCTCTTACAATGTACAATCATCCGAAATGCCTATAATTATGGTTGCCTTAGTTGTCGGAATGGGCATTGTCCTTGTGACTTCCTAAAAAACTCGTTTTTCGTCATGAGACGTCGTAGCTCTTCTAAATGAAGACCTTGTGACTCCTAAGACAGTTTAAATAGTTGGAATTATATATTCTTGTTGATACTTTTTTGGAGAGGTTTGTCTTTTACGAGATAGGGTCTCTAACCACATGCCCTACACCAACTCATTAAACCGGAAACGGGACCCAAAATAACCCAGAAAAGGCTTCTAAAGAGGTTAGAGTAAGTGATAGACAATATTTTGTTGTACAACATAACAAGTAGTGGGTCCGATGTAGATGTTAGTTATTTCCATGACCAATTGCAGTTATGCTATAACTAACCAATCAAATTGTAGATTAAGCGTTCATCACGTGATCTGGTCTTACGTACCCGTAAACTATGTTTGTTGCAAATGACCTACTAATTGAAGGACATTATTATCTTATTATATTGATGTGACTCATAGTTTTATTCATTGCCATAAGACATGCTGTATTAGTCGGTATGTTTACTGGTTTCACTCGATAGTTGTAATTTCCTCATTTATTTTACTAATCTAATTGTTTTTATGTTTAGAAACAGATAAAGTTTAGAGCAAAAGTTGATCTTGTTCTGACTTTAGCTTTCCCATAGACTCTGAACTCGCCAATATTGCATTTACCATTCTAGAAGTACATCTGTAGGACAAATTTATTCATACAGTAGAAATCGATAACATGAAGGGAAACTAGATGTTTATTTCCTAAAAGGTGAAGTGGTTGTTGGTCTACGCTCGACAACTAGTTACATTTTAATTTCCTTTCCATGCATCACAGTTGTTCCACTGTATTTATGAACGCCTTAATAATGAACAGGTACAATCGTATACAGCACGAGACTAGAGTCATTCAGGTACGGTACTATTACCACAGTACTTCTAGATCGTGGTGACTGGTATGATTTGTCAGCTTAAAGTTGAGTTTTTTCAAGTTCAATTACTCTCACTCATTCGATAAAATAACATTAACGATAGTGTTACGTAATGAAATGTATAAAAGACAGATGACTCTAACTGCAAACCGTAACACAACCCTCAAAGATAAAGTTACTTTTGAGATTCCGAAGTGGGTCTCCTAACTGGATACCCGGACCACGCTCAAATTTTTACCCCTATTTTATAATATCCTTACTTTCGAATCACATAAAAATATTCTGAATCAAATCTAAATGATCTTACTTCTGTTTTATCTAAGATTATCCCTTGTTTATTCATACATTTTCAATGTGGATATTCATATCGTCCAAGACCTAAATAAATGTTTGCTCGATTTGATCCTGGCGGTCCTGTAGTTTCATCATATTTTGTTAAACGTTCAACAATTTGATTTATTTCTTCCTTGGATAATTTTGGCTTGTTTATTGATGACTGTTTAAAATCAGAGGATTTTCGTGATACTCTGGTAACGTTGTTATATGTAGTAGGTCGATGAAAAATACTCGATGAATGTGCTTCCTAAAATATGAGAATCAAGGTGAATGTTTTGTTAAGACTTCGCTGTTTGGAAATATTGAAAATTGATCCGAAAAAAGCAATACATCGAAGTTGTATTCAATTATAATACTTTTCAGTTTTATTTACCAGTCCTTGTTTGTTTATTATTTTGAATTATTTTTCTGGTTATTTGTTTGTCGAGTTACTTTTCTATGGGATCGAGTCAATGACCCCATGCCTAACTCTCTTCTGTTAACCGACCTTGCAACTAGCAGTAACCACAGAGCGGTTCCGAGCGGCACCACCTTTGACAATACTGGGTACATGAGGAGGTAGTCGACATAATTCGGAATTCGTGTGACGCATGGACCTGCGAAATCATGCATGGAGGGCAGTCCACAGACTCGTTTCAAGTCAAGGCCGGTGTCCGGAAAGGTTGCTCACCATCAAACTTTATTTACCTCCAGTAAATCAACTGGATTATGAAGACTATAATATCTTAGAGGAAGCATTGGATACAGTGAACAGGTTGAATGCAGCCGGATGATTTAGACTTCGCAGATCATCCGACTCCAATAACACACACATGACAACAGATACAAGATAAGACGACCAGTGTACCAGCAGCCTTAACAGCAGTAGGTTTCAACATACACAAGGGGAAAAGCTAGATTCACCGATACAGCAAAACATACACCAACCAAGTCGCACTGTATGGCGAAGCTTTGAAAGATGAAAAAACCTTCACACATTTGAGCATCACCATTAATTAGCAAGGTTTGTTTGATGCAGATGTGAAGGCACGGATCGAAAAACAGAGAGCAGCATTTTCCCAGTTGAAGAACATTCAAAACCCAAAATGACTGTCAACAAAAACAGAATTTTCAATATAAATGTCAAGATAATTCTACTGTATGGGACGGAAACTTGTAGAACGATGAAAGCCGTCATCCACGAGATATAAGTGTTTACCAACAGTTGTCTATGCAAGATACTAAGTATACCTTGGCCAGACACCATCACAAGACAAGTCTTTAATTGGAATGTTCAAGGCGAAGTGAAAATATGAAGACCAAAGAACACATTACGCTAAGAAATGAAGACAGACATAAGAAGAATGAATAGCAGTTGGTTAAAAGTGGAAAAGAAGGCGCAGAAGAGAGTAGATTGGAGGATGCTGGTCAGTGGTTTATGCTTCAATGGAGGTAACAGGCAGAAGTAGGTGAGTTGCTTTTTTATTTCACTTCTAGATTGAGTACTTTCGATTTAAAGCTCAGTGTGTATCCTCGTCCTTCCGAGGAGTGCTATACCCGGACATAGTCCATAGTAGACTAACATTGATCCATTCATAATTTCAATCAAATAATATGAGTTTAAATGATAAAGATGGTCAATAAATTTTAAGATACAAACGAAAATAATTATTGTTAATTTATTTGTCCGAAAAACTAAGTTCTATGGATCAAAAGTAAGATCTTACAGTTGACGCAATCATCATGAAAAAAAATACTGACTGAAGTAGCATTTGAAAATGAATTTCAAAATGATGAAGTAAGAAAAGCGAAATCTTGAGTGACTGTTAATTTCAGTCCAATTTACAAATATAGACAAATTGATCGAATTATCGTTTAATAACCAGTTCTTTAAGGTCGACATGTTTTCGTTAATAATACATGATACTTAATAAAATAAAAAGTAGTTTGATCTGGATGTTCAAACATTTTTGCAATAAATAAATGTTTATCATGCTTTCATATTGTATAGTACATTTTTTATTACAAATATACTACTTCTAATGGCACTATGATACAGAACGTTTCATCTTCCAACGAAAAACCATTCAGAATAATAGCCGATTCTTCAGTGGGAAAATGACGACAATAGCGACCTTAATAATACTGGAATTTCGGAATTAAAATAACTTTTTCCATTAAAACAAATCTGGCTGGATAGGTTTCGTAAAAACCTCGAAACGAATAGCAGATCCTTATACAATGCTTGTGTGTAAAATATTCTATGGTGAGGTTTTTTATTAGAAAGGCAAGAAAAAAGTTCCACAAATCAACAGTTATACTTTTTGAATAGGTGTGAAAATTATTGAAAAGAGGAACATCAATAAAATCAGTCTTCAGCAAACTCTGTCTTGAGAATTCCTTTGCGGTTCTACCGAATCGCTGTATATTCTTTTTATGTCTGTCTTCCATCCACGAATAAATGTGCTCTTTCCCTCCTCCTCTTTTCCTCTCGTCTAGGAACTTTAAGAAAGGGCCGTCTTGTGATGTAGTTGGATGATTTCTGCGATAGGCGTCATATCCATTTCCGTCACCAATTCCTAATTTGTTGTTGAACTGCAATCTGGTTTGATCGCTCTCATAGTAGGTTGTTACTGATGATTTCTAGCTAACGGACACTCACTAACTTGCACACAACTGTTATTAAATACTCATGTATTCTGGAGTATGGCTCTGGTAGCTTTTAAGTTTCCGCTCCATACAATAGAACCATCTTGACAATTTTATTGAAAATATGGACTTTAGTGATGACTGATGATACATTTAAGTTCCTAGAGCTCGTCAATTGTAAGAACATTGCCCTTGTTTTTTGATTTTCAATGTCAACAATGAAATACGAGTAAGTCTATTCGATGTATAGCAGATAACAGTAAATACCCAAATTGGACTACACTGTTATTCATATTCATACCTGAACAAACTAGTGCTTACAGTTCAAAAACAATTTTGAATTAATTTGTTTAAATTGATAACCTGATAAGTGACTTTAAAAGTTCAAGGTTAATCCACATTTCACATCAGTAAAATTACACAGATTCATAATGAAATGAACATTATCGCCAACAGATCGGGAGTAGGAATGAGAGAATAGACGCCCAGTCACTTAACATAAATCATATCACTTGCACAACGATCACAACTCACAAACCCTGAAATACACACAAGTGAATCAAATTATTCATCAGTCAATTTTATCCATTTCACATGATTATGTTGTAGTGTGCCGATTACTGCGTGTTCTTAAGCTCGGTTTATAAATCAGAAGATGAACTCCAAGTATCGTATACGTTTATTTGAGGCACACCACAAAGCGAAGCGGAGAAGCGAATTGGAGAAGGCTAAGAGCCAACTCTTTGGATTACAATGCGAGCGAATGAGTGAAGCGAATAGGAGAAGGCTGTTGAGCCAACTCTTTGGATTACAATGCGAGCGAATGAGTGAAGCGAATAGGAGAAGGCTGTTGAGCCAACTCTTTGAGATAGAACATGACTAAGAATATATAGTCAGATAAAAATCAGACAGACATATGACAAGCGAAATAGGTATGCACACACATGAATAAAAGTGACGAATGATTGACAAGGTCAAAAGCAAGCGATACAAATCATGTGAGTTCATGGGAATATTACGAGATTAACATTGAAGCGAAAAGTATGAATATGCGCGCAAGTGTAAACAATGTTCAATCATACCAGCGCATACAAACCACACAATAATAAAAGCCAATGGTGCATATAAGTTATTGTTTTACAAATGGCTTGGTTAAATAAATTAATCGAAAGGGCTTAACGAAGTTAGATGTGAGAGAACTGAAATATATGTGGAGGCACTACAATGTCATCATCTTACAACCATTTATTATGTCATGTCACTTTCTTATTTGAAATGAAATACAATGCCTGACCGAGTCAATTCATTGAACAGTGTGAATTGTGTATGTGAATATATTTAATTAGATGTCCAATTCATGTGATAAACAGTTTTTATGTTTGTACTTCTTTTTGTTAATTTTTGTCGTATGATTACAATTTGCACACACCTCGTTTCTGAAAAAAAGTGGTATCTACTGATATTTGTATGTTAGAATTCACGTCATTAAGTTACACATTTTTGAAACCATGAACCGATGAATGTTAGACCACCATTAGAAACCTGGAAGCACTGGACGGCCGTTTCGTCCTGGTATGGGACTCCTCAGCAGTGCGCATCCACGACTCCTGCACCCCGCAGGATTCTAACCCAGGACCTGCGGTTTTGTGTGCGAGTTCTGGTGGGAAGACGTGACCAGTGAAGTTCAACCTGTTCGGGTGTAGACAGTAACTACCGAAGACTGTGTATGAGGTTGCGCAACTCCGTGAATTTGATCAAGTTAGACATTAACACCGTTAGATACCGGCTCAGTGGTCTATCGGTTAGGGCGTTCGCGCACAAAACCGAAGGTCCTGTGTTCGAATCCTGCGGGGTGCAGGAGTCGTGGATGCGCACTGCTGAGGAGTCCCATACCAGGACGAAACGGCCGTCCAGTGCTTCCAGGTTTCTAATGGTGGTCTAACATTCATCGGTTCATGGTTTCAAAAATGTGTAACCTAACAATCTTCACAACCCCGTAATGCAAATTTTGATAATTGAATAACAAACAACACAAGCATAAATATACGTTCGACCGTGTGATGTGAGTTAGGTAGATTGTCTTAAATTTGAAATAATCAATAATATTGATTTTATTTTTCGGTAGTCATAATCAATATTGTTATTGTATAATATGAACGCGATTCGATCACATAATTAGGTGATTACCACACTCACTCACTCACTCAGTCGCACACATACACAGACTTGGTGAATATTTGAAAAAATACATAATTCACTTGTAAACTAGACTAAATAGTTTCTTTTTTCTAAAACTGTACAAGTTTTGCGAAAGGAATTTGTACAAAATAATCTCTTTGTTAAAATTAAACTAGTTTTCATAACGTATAATTAGAAACGAGATCAAATGAATATTTATGGTGAAATTTGTTTTAATCTATTAACAATTATAGAAAATTTGATTAAATCAAATTGTGAATGATTGTAGTGAACCTCTTAATTCATACTTAAATTTTCGCCGAACTTTGACGTTATTTGGAGTGTCACATGACGTACTAACGAACATACAACCCCCTTTATGTTATAGTTCTGAAGAATAATGTTTTACATTGGAATCGTGAATCAGTCATTATTAGACAA